CCGATAAAGGCTCATGCGAGAACCTCCCCCATGCAAACGGGCCGTGCCGGCGCCAAATCGGAGCATGCGTATCAGGGGTTGGTAGACTTGTTACAACAGGGTTTGTAAGACACTTGAATCAGGACACGGAAGGGAAGTGAAATGAACAGTGATACAAATGATAGCACCTAACATCGACAAGAAATAGTCAATACGTATTATGTGACATAATTGCGCGTGTAAATATATAAAATATTATTATTTTTATTATTATTAATGATATCCATTGAAAATTATTCCCATTTTTATTACTATCATGGTGAATCAAAAACCCAAACGCAATGAGGCACAGAACCTCGCTGGTGTGTAACGGACACAAGCAGTTTAAAAAGGTCTACTTTTACCGAACTCTCAATTTTCGTAATGTTCCAATCATTGATTGCAAAGCTCATTTGGTAGTATCCAAGAGCAGTGACAAAACATTCAAAAGAACAAATGTCAGAAGATTCGTAGCAATAACCAAGGAATTATTGAAAAAGTAACTGTTATTATCCGTATCAAAGAATATACATGAATTTTAAAACAACATCAATTTAATACCGTGATTTCATTAATTCCTTTATTGGATCACTGTTTCCTTTTAGTGATTCAGAAAAAAAGATAGATATTATGAGTCAAAGCGCAAAATGCGATTATGACGAAGAAGCCGTTAATCATCTAGGTCCTCCCCCTCCCCGTTGAGCTAACAACGTCCTTTGTGTTAATCTCATTTCGTGGCAAATTTGTGATCTTTCGAGAACGAGGGGCCTCCAGCCGCTATTTGCCCAGCCCTGGGTCATCTAATGCGCTCGCCGATCTTAGAGTATCAGAAGGACGCAATATCGCCTCAAACGACGAGGGGGGCGGGGCCGGAGGCAGGGCGGCGGCGACGGGAAGTCAGCACCACGTTACTGCAAACGCTCCGGCTGATTCCACGAAATTGCTCTCCGGATACACAAGGAGATTATTGGAGCGCGGCTGATATTACCCTCTTGATATTGAAGTGGCGACATCGCAAATCACCCAGAGCATTGGGTCGCGGTTTGCGTCTTGCAAGACGGCCTTCGAGAGGATTCTTTGAAAGACAATGTTCCTCCTTGTTCCTTTGTGCGGTCAGACGAGTGCTTTCTAGTAGTGGAACATCTCGATTCACGAGAGAAGTCAAGCGTAACATTTCCTTCATATTTCCACGCCAATACTTTCATATTAATATTGCAAGTTATTCGATGGTATAAATGTAATAACAAAAAGCACAAAAATAATTCTAAAATGTTTAATGTAACAGCTAAATGTCTAAGGTTCGGACCCGCCAGTGAAGCCACCAGGACATTTAGAAAGATGGTTGTTGACCGCTTCCCGAAACATGTGTCTGATTAATTTTGTATAATATTAAATACATTTTTTTAAAATCGTTGTGGTCGATATCTCCTGGATCCTTAATCATTTTGGATTATCACACTGTCTCAGCTGCCACCATGGAATTTAATTTAAAGGCTTAATTTTTCAATATCTTTTTTTATATCCTTCTCCTCGCAGCATGCAGGCACTCACCTTGAGCACGAAGATCTCTCCAGTGGTGCGGTTGATGTCGAACTTGGAGTTGGCAGGGTTGTCGGGGTCGATGCCCTGGCCCGTGAGGAAGTACACGATGTTCTGCGGCCGGTCCTTGTCTCCGTCCGTGGCGGTGACCTGCGGGAGCCAGAAAGGCAGGTCAGCATCGCCGGCACGCGGACCGAAGACGTCGCCCTCCCGGCCCGGAGTCGCTGTCGTTGTCCCGCCCGATATGGAAATGACTTAGTTTCGATGCAAAAATATGCGCGATATTTTTTTCCCCTAGCCGGGGATATATTTTAAGTTCCGGCTTTCTTTTATAAGTCCTTCATAAGCATTAGTAATCCCCGGCTTTCTCGGATCGCTCCCTTTTGTGAAGGCGGACGGAAGCAATTAAGGATAATTAGAAAAGAAGCGATTTATTGAGACTACTTCCCCCCATTGGGCCCCTGCGAGGGGAGATGGATAGCAGGGCGGTGAGCAATTCCACTTAAGATGGAAAATAATCACTTACTTATCGGAAAAGCATACTCGTTCATGAAACACGGGTTCTCGAATCTTTTATGCGGTTGAATTTCCTGTGAATCAGGGCTGTTACTTTAATTGCCGGGCGGGACGAAAACGGGTCAACGGCTGGTTCCGCCTGACAGAGAAGAACGACTCCGGGCAGGAAGTACGTTTCGCTCGTGCGCTGGAAATCAGGAAATGCATGCTTCGTGGAAAAACAAAAGGAAATTGTTAATCACTCAAAATTGCATGCTCTACACGCTGTGAAACTCATACCAAAAAAGTCAAAGATTTTATTTACATGCATAAAAGCATGCGTCCACCAGATATCAAACGAAAATTCAGCCGACTGCAATGAGTACTTACCGGTCTTCTGTACAAAACATTTAAGAACTTGCTAGAAACACAGAACGGGAAAACAATATATTTATTAAATATTTAATTTGTGAGTTCATTGTCACGACAATAAAAGAACGGTTGCAACGGAAAAGGCCCAGTTTCTCCCTTTTTAAAAAATCTGACAAATATACGAGCAAAATGATAAATCTAATATATTGGACACAAAGCACTTATTATTAATACTATTGTCAAAACGAATACAATTCATCGGACTGCAATGCCAAAGAAAGCACATTTTCAGTCGTGAACCCGTCATTTAGGAGAAATTTCCACCTCTCTGCTTTCAGTCGAAATGAATGTCCAGATAGAAGAAACAAGGCGTCGGATGTGAAAACAGACCAATAGACATGCCTTTCAGAGTATCTTTATTTTCCTCTTGCAAAGAACATAAAAACTGGAGGGAGATGGGGGTGGGCACGTTCTCAAAAGAGGCGTAATCGATGTGACAGAAGAACAACGAACAATGCCGCGTCGGGGAGGTGGCTGCGAGGTCGCCAGAGGACGGGGCGAGGACGCGAATCGGTCAGGAGGACAAAAGCGATTTAAAGGAGACGCGGTCTCATCGCGTCGTTCTCCATCGGGCAAAGAACGTCGTTACAAAGGTCTCGTGGAACCTGTTTCGCGGAGAGAGGATTCGTTCGCAGAGGTTGTTTCTGCCTAATTAACTGCATGGGAGGAGCCGTTTGGATTCGTTCGGATGGCATTTGCAGGCTCAAATACGAAGTCCACCGCGATATCTGAGGAGCGACATTACGTATGCGGGGGGCGAGCGCGGCGACACGGGCGAAAGAGTCAGTCGGCAGCGGCCGCAGTCGAAGAATTCAACTCCGAAAGAGCACCGCGCTGTGAAATTATACGGGATAGGATTTTAACTCCGCGGCACTTGCTTCGGCGGGGAAAAAAAGTAAAAGAAAAAGCGAGAGGGCGTGCGTGCGGGAGAGGGGATTACCCTCACAAACATTTGCCGTCGCAGCTCCGCGTCATCTTTCATAATCGATTATCTTGCTCCACTTGAGACGAACGAGGAGACGCCCTGCCTCCCTGCCACGCCCGCGTCCCGATCCCCCTTCCCCATCCCTTCGCGACTTCCTGGGGCCTTTCGCCGGTGATTGGCTGACGGCGGAGGGACTGCTCAGCGTTAGATAAGGCGAGCGCCGCCTTCGGGGCGCCAGCCGCCCAGCCCCTCGGCCAGGGGTGTGCGAGGTGAGAGCACGATGGGAGCCGCCCCTCACCCAAAAGGAAACCACTCAGTAAATGAACCATTTCGATTACCGATTTTTTTTTTGTTTTTTGTATCCCAGCATTATAAACGACCTTCGCTACAAGAACTCGTTCGTAAAAGGATATCCTACAGTACAGATTATGTGTTATTTGCCGTTTATGGCACCAATAATTGCGACATCACACATTCAGCCAATCGCAGTGAGAGAATCGTGTGGAAGTACGAGTAGTGGTAAACGGAACATACTACAGTTTTTTTGCACAGACGTCAATACCTGTGACGACATAATACAGTTATTTCTCACAATCAACTTCCCACAATCTTATAAATTTATAATGTCGGTAAACTACAATTTGCGTATGCAACGTGTTTATAATATTATTGTTTTTATTATTACACTCGCTCGTAACGTCGCTCGTTTTCAAACCAAGTACTCATGCCATAAACCGTAATATTATAAACTAGTGCCATTAACTAATGTTGTTAAAATGATTAAATTCAACAGACATAAATCATAACATCTAATTTATTTTGTTACTATTGCTCTTTTTTTCACGTCGAATTCCTGGCTAGATGCTATTGAAATAATTTGGGCATGTGCTTTCGTCACACTTTCCGTTTAATTCACTTCAATTATTTTAATAAGCAGTGTCACATTTAGGAGAAGGATATAATATTTTATGAATTCGTAACATGTTTTAAAAAGTATGTGTTATTAATTTTGCTGCTACAGCACTTTGATCTTTCAATAGTGAAAAATGAGATAGATTAAAAAGTTTTAAGAAATAAAAGCTGCGACTATCTCGTAACTTCAGAACGTACGAAATAAACGTATTAGTGAAATGCCTTTAGTGCCAATACGAACAATCTAGGAAAATGCATAAAATATCTGCTATTTAATCAATATTTCGTACATAGTGCAACAACCTGTAAATTATTTAAGATTTAATTATTTTGTTTCTACTTTAATATGATGAGTTCTCGATGTTTGTCTACCTCGTTATGAAAGACTGACAAAATGCATTTTTAAAAATTCGAAAAAGTTTTCTACTTTGATTTATTGAATGTGTCATGAAATTATTTTTCACTAATAGTTATTTACAAGTATTCGGCCCTTCACTATTCTCAATATATCTTGACGCCTACGCACATTAACAAAATCTGTACGACAGAATACAGCTGACTGTACTCGTGACCTGAATGAGGTTGGCACCCCTGCCCTCAACCCCGTACGTAGCTGGCTCTTCCGCTATCGCAGTTCCCAGACGTGCCTGAACGGTTCCCTCACCAGGGGGACGAGGTTCACAAAAAAATGTGGGGATGGGGAGCCCAGGTAAATATTCAGCGGCAATTTTATTTCCATTTAAATCGAGCGTGACGGGACGGCCTCTACGGCAAGGGACCGTCCCGGAGGGGAGTGGGGCGTCGGGGGAGGCGATGAGAGGGCGGGTTCGCACCCGCGCACGTCAGCGCCAAATCACAACCTCGTAACTCGCGCGAAATTACATTCGGGTTTGTCAGCGGACGGGGAATCCCCTCCGCTATAAATTAAATGTTTCACTTCCCGCCACAGCGCCCCACCGCTTCCGTGGGTTCGGGCCCGCCATGTTGTTTCATAGATGAAAGCGAGGTGCCGCCAGACGAAAGGGGTTATTCGCGCCTAACCCCCGTTCCAAGGAACAACCCCAGTGTTTTATTTTGCGAGCGGAAAAAGGACAGACGCTCATTTTCGCTGCAAACAAGATGGCGCGGCCGGAAAGTTCATATTCATAACCGGGGAGTTGGTAATCTCCCAGTGCGTTAATGCCGCGCAGACTTCTCGCCAAGTAAGGAAGCAGGGAACAAGATGCGCGAAACCCCCCTCTCCCCCTCCGGAGGGCAAGGGAGGGGGCGGTCTCGTTCTTTCTTCGAATTCTTTTTTGTTCGCCCGAGCCTTGCCCGAGTCCTTTATTTAAAATCCCACTTTCACCTTTGTCCATTTATGTAAATGCTGCCGCGTTTTACTTGACATTAAATATGTATAAGCCGGCGGCGGCGGGGCGATGTCTGGGCAGCTGGCGGGCGGGCGAGGGGGGAAGGTGGGAGGGGGGGCGGTCCCCGACGTGTCCTGGGCTGACCCCGGCGCGCTGGGCCGCGGCATTCGCGTGTTTACAAGGTAGCGGGAGAGGAACGTGCACTTGCACATTCAGAACGGACGACGACGGCGAAATATGTTTACTCATTGTCACGTCACCTCCGTGGGCTTGGGGTGGCTATTTGCTGACTCACGGCGGGACGTGTCTACTTTTAATATTGCCCAAAGACGTACAGTAAAATCTAATCCAAACTCTACTTATTTTCTGAATAAGAACATATAGCAAGTTAAAAACAATAAGTGGTAATTTCATGTCTATATTTCATGTCACTATTTTTCTTGATACATTGAAAGAAGAAATATACTACTTTGTATTTAATACCGAATTAAACTGCATACGTTTTGCCCCTGTGATGACAATCCTTAATCTCAAACGTTCGTAAAATTTAAATGAAAATTCGCAAGTGTCTAGGAAACAAATTAATTTGAAGAAAGATATTTTTCTTTTCCATTTTATATTATAGCAGTTAATTCGATTTTTCACAAAATACAAATTCGTAAAAGGGCTTAAAACAGTTGTTATTTAATTTTCTACTTACATGTTAAACTTATTTAAGCCTTCATTAACAGCATTTGAAGTTTCATACATGGACGCAAAGAACGTGACTTTCCTTCTCACGAACTTCCATAATACTACTGTCAAAGTAATCCCTTACGGCACAGTTAAAAGGTTTTGGAAAGTCCTAAACCGCATTATGTTCCATTAAGGGAACTTCCACAAAGTGCTCACAGATTTCTGTTCCAAACGTCCGAAGCAAGTCGAGAGAACGTAATTAAGTTGTATACGTTTTGCAAGGTATCATAAAATTTCTTCGGTGAAAAGATTTTATTTTCAAACGGAAGTATACCACACCAATGTACTTACATTAAACAAGACGAAGACTGAAGGAATAATTCGGTAGATCTCTCTTTCTCTTACCAAGATGAGCATACAACGATACGTCTTAAAA